AGCAGGGAGCCTGATGCGGGACTCGATCCCGGGACTCCAGGATCATGACCTGAGACGAAGGCAGTCGCTTAACCAACTGAGCCACCCAGGCGCCCCGTTTTCTTCTTTTTTAAGATTTTATTTATTTATTTGACAGAGGGAGAGAGCACAAGCAGGGGGAATGGCAGGCAGAGGGAGAAGCAGGCTCCCCGCTGAGCAGAGCAGGATGAACACGGGGCTCCATCCCAGACCCTGAGATCATGACCTGAGCCGAAGGCAGATGCTTAACCACCCCCACTATGAGTACATTTTCAGGATCAGGTCTACTTCTGAATCAAAAGCTGACAATAACAGCATTTTACTTAGGAAAGCTAATCAACAGGAATCAGATAAAGAGAACAAAAACACAGTTGTAATTGCGCCCTCCCCACTTACCCAGTCCTCTCTCTCTCTCTTACCCCCAAAATCACCAGAAAGGTTTCTATAGGTTAGATCACTTCTAGTATAGCACACTCTACAGGGGGTTTCAATGTCAGCCTGGGCTTTGATAAAAAGGTCCTTTCCAGGTTAGAGATTCTATCATGAGCAAAAAAATCCAGCTAAGAAGAGAAAATAAAATTCGAACGAACTAATAACTCCTAATTTGCATTCTTAGTCAAACTGGTAAATTTTTTGGCTAATATTCTAAATTTGAACGTCCTGATCGTAATTATACTTATCCACATAAAAGGAGAAAAAATATATATATTCAGAGTTATTACTAAATTATGGTACAGTCACACACTGGACCATAAAAGATTTTAAAAGTCATGTCTTTTAAACAATTTTAGGGACATAGGAAATGACACAAATGATACTGGGATTAAAGGGAGGGGAGGGGTAGGACTTGGCCCTCTTGTGTGTGCTAGTTTTGCCAGGAAATGTTTTTTGAAAACATGCAGAAGTTGAAACTGTAAGAAATGAAATAGGCTACATTACTGAAAGGGAGAAGGGATTAAAGTACAAAAACCCTCATTATACTCTGCTTTATATTCTTTGGCATATTTTCTGCCATTCCAAACACATTTTTAAATTTTATACTTATCCTTCACAAATGAGCGTACAATTTTTTTTTTCAAATTGTTATTATTGAAGTATGGTTGGCAATGTCCTAGTAGTTTCAGGTGAACAACATAGTGATCTAACTAGTCTATACATTACTCAGTGCTCACCACAATAAGTGTAGTCACCATCTGTCAACATACATTATTGCAACATTACTGATTATATTCCCTAGGCTGTACTTTTCACATCTGTGACTTATTTTAATACCGAAAGTTTGAACTTTTAATGCCTTTCAACTACTTCACCCATCCTGCCACCCACCCCTCTCCCCTCTGGCAACTACCAATTTGCTCTCTGTATGAATCTGTTTCTGTTTTCAGTTTGTTCATTTTCTTTTTAGATTACACATATAATTGAAATTATCCGGTATTTGTCTTTCTCTGACTGACTTAATTCAATTAGCACAACTCCCTCCAGCTCCATCCATGTTGTTGCAAATGGCAAGATTTCATTCTTTTTTAAATGGCTCAGTAATATTCCATTATACACATATACCACATCTTTTTGTTCCATCATTCTAACGATGGATGCTTAGGTTGCTTGCATAACTTGGCTATTATAAATAATGCTGAAATGAACAGAGGAGTGCATATATCTTTTGGAATTAGTGTTCTTGTTTTCTTTGGGTAAATACCCAGCAGAATTACTGAATTGCATGGTATTTCTATTTTTAATTTTTTGAGGAACCTACATACTGTTTTCCACAGTCACCGCACCAACTGAACATATGACTGACAGACTTAAAGCAAATAAACTATGGCAAAAGTGTGCCAATCTACAAATTACAGTTCCATCTTGATTACAACTTTATTAGTTATTTAAACTAATGCATCTTAATAACTAATATTAACCACTCCCATTTCTATTTCCCACTCATATTTTTAAAATGCATAATACGATAAAATATTTACACCAACATATAGAAAAAGACAATGCTGCTGAAACATCACTGTGGATTTCAGAACCAGGGTACTGTATGAAGATCAAAATGTTTGTCAGTCGTGTGCAAGAGTTCAAATAGAACCTGAGTACTACTATGGAATACTGCAGTTGTGCCAAAGGTTCAAATTATTTACTGATTTTTTAAAGTTTTTTTAAAGTAATCTCTATGCCCAACATGGGGCTCGAACTCATGCCGCTGAGATCAAGAGTCATATGCTCTACTGGCTAAGCCAGCCAGGTGCCCCCAAAATGGTACAAGTATTTTTGTGTAAACACATGCACATATAGGCACAAATATTCATGTGATAAAGACAACTAAGGAAAGTATGCAAATGTTAACAGTGGTAATATCTGAATTGTTTGGATGTTCTCCTTTACACTCTTCTGTGTTCTCCAAATTCTCTAAAATAAACATGGATTGTTTTTATAATGGAAGAGGGGTATTTTTTAATCAACAGATAAAGTGCGGCTGCTACGAAGAATAATCTGAATGTAAAAAAGCAAAAAACAAGTTCAGAACAGAACTCTGTACTAAGCACTGTGCTACCAGGGTAGCACACATTGCTGAAGTTAACGGACAGCCTTATGACACAGATATCCCCCCACTGTGTGGACTAAGAACTTGAGGTTTCCAAAAGATAGAACAAAGGACACACGGCTATTTAACAGCAGTGACAGTCATTGCACAGAACCCTGTCCTAGTCCAAAGTCCATACGCTCAACTACCAAAATAGCCTGACATCAATAGAGGGGGTTGATATATTCTTTACATTTGACATTTAGTTTTTTTTATGTAATTTACTAGACAATATATACACGGTAATGCCTCCCAATGTTGTATCAGGTAATCGTATTAGGATCTTGCCATTATTGACTGCAAGCTAAACACGGGTCGGAGAATGAGGCCTTGCAAGTAAAGTTCGGAGTATTTTATGCATAAAATGACAGTCCTTGGCTAAATAAGACAAGGAATTTTCCATTCCAGAGAATGCATCTGACTCTTCACAGTGCCTCCTATACAAGTAGTCCGACTAAAAACCTGCTAAACAGCAGACCACTGAGAAAATGATGAGGAAGTGATATGCCCACAAAGTCAGACTGCCTCACCAGCCTGTCAGCATCCCTACACTGTCAAACAATAAGATGGGGAAAAAACTCAAAAGCTAGACATCAGAACTCAAGATCTTAAAAAAAATGAAGCTTCCTTTCAGTAAAATAAAGACACACATAAAGAAAGGCACCACAAACCGTCAATCGAAAGCCGTGCTACAGCACGTGTGTGAGAGAGTGAAGAGAAAGGGCAAACCAAACAGGACGAATCACATGTTCGTGACCCTTAAATTAGATTTCTGATAATGTCAATGACTGACAACTATTTTTTGAGCCTAGCACATTTGGGAAATGATGAAAGAACTGCTTTGAATTCCAGTTTTATTTGTGTTACTTGGCTCAAAAGTAAGGAAAAAATTACCCACATTTGTAGTGAACCATTTAAGTTTTTGTCCTCATAATGAGGTTTATAAAAACGCTTTTATTCACTAATTACTTTTCAAATTACCATCAAATACATACCTTCCTCCTATCGAGTCGTCTTGTGGTTGGGCCCCGGCAGTGTTCCTCTGTGAACGTCGCAGTGACCCCCCTGGATTGTTATTAGGCCGGTTGGACATTGGCACCTCTCTCTTGAAGGGACATACCCTTTCTAGACACTACCATTCACTAAAAGGGAAAAAAATGAGAAAAAAACATCAGCTATATGTGGTACAACACAGAAACCAAATGAAGGGAACCAAAGATGAAGGGGAAATTTTATGTAAATAATCTGTACAGCCTTCACCGATGCTACACGGTCTTATTTGAAATCTGATTAGTATATTGCAAGATGTCAGGAATATACCAAATTCAAGGCATGTGGTCCAAAACCCAGCACATAAAATTAACATAGATTTCGCACGGAACACCCAGGAAATTCTCAAAGAAAACAGAGCACAAGCAGAAATTTATCTTTGCTTCTCCATTTCCTGTGGTGTGCAGCAAAGAGCACGACGTCCAACATCAGAATACCTTGGCTCAAGTCCTGTGATAGAACAGGTATTAAAGGAGTCTGCCTTTGTACAAACCAGAGCCTCTAGCCTCCAACTCCTCAGCCAAAGAATAAAAAACAACACGTCATGCCTACTTCACAGTATTGCTGTGAATAACAAATGCCATCATAAATACAAAAGAAACCGTAAAACTATGGAGAAATGAGGAGAAAGCGGCTCAAGTACAGTGAACTGAGAAATGGTCCCAGATATCCTAGATTTCAACATCAGCTATGCTGGCTGTGACCTTGGACAAGACACTTAATCTCCAGATTTCATTTACCTCTTCTGTGAAATCAGTGTATCACCTATCTCAAAGAATTGCTAGAAATTGTGAGAATAATTCCTAAGTATAACAATTTAGCTCAAAACACGGTTCTTAATCATAAATGTGAACTTTCTGTAAGAAATTTAATTATTATGCAGAAAAAATGCTGATACTCAAAGAAAATCGGTTCAACTGATAAAGAGGCCACTATAACTATCAGAGAAAGAATCACAATTTGTATAAGTCAAATCTTCACAATTTTTCTTAAGCCTCGAGTCAAACTCCAAGTAGAGTTCTTTAATTCTATTTACTGGGAGGGAAGAGAACGAATGTGACATTACAGGAACTGATGCTAAAGAGAATGCAAATTAATCATGACTAAATCTATTCCTAGATTTTGTTTTAAGAGATTCCATGGCCTGCCTGTAACAGGAAGCATGTTTTCTTTTGAGTTACAGGTTGACCCAAATCAGTAGAAAAGGACTGTTTCTGTCACATGTGCCCACATCATCAATTAATATACTAAATAAACTCTGGTGAGAAAGTTCATACTAATGTAATTACCATCAATTTTAGAAAGAAAAAACGGGAAATAGCATGAAAACATTGAGAAAGAGAAAAATTAAATTTACATGTACCGATATGGAAAGATCTCCCCCCAAGATATGTTAGAGGGTAAACAGTATAAAACTCCCAGCTGTGTGTATGTATATTTAAAAGGTCAAGTATGTATCCTTATATATTGTCTACACATTGCAAACTGATGGAAGGAATCATAAAACACTCTGTTAATACTGCCTGCCATTGAGGGCGCCTGGATGGCTCAGTCAGTCAAGCATCTGCCTTCGGCTCAGGTCATGATCTCGGTCCTGGGATGGAGTCCCATAGTGGGCTTCCTGCTCAGCAGGGAGCCTGCTTCTCCCTCTCCCTCTGCCTGCTGCTCCCCCCCATCCATCCCCCGCTTGTACTCTCTCTGTCAAATAAATAAATAAATAAAATCTTAAAAAAAAAAAAAAAAAAACGAAACACTGCCTGCTGTTGGGAAATAGGACCTAGGGTCTGAAGTCTGCGATGAAAGGAGTTATTTTTATTATTTACCTTTTGTAAGCCATAAGGTAGGTCACTCTAGCAGTGGAGTTAGAAATGCAGGGCTCTGGAGTTACACTGCCTCTGGCTGAGTTTGAATTCTGACTCCACACAACTTGTTCTCTGTGCTTCTGTCTACCAAATGTGGATAAAGAACCTACCTCCTAGAGCAGCTGGAAGGATTAAATGAGAAATCCATGCAAACCACGTAACAGAGTGCCTCTGGTATTACAAAGGTGCGGTACATGTTAATTATTTCTGCTATTACTATCAACGCTTATTCAGAATAAAAGAATACTGGTGGCAAAACAACATACTGAGGGAGACTTCACCATAAAAACCACTGTCCAGTTGAGTCTTACATTTCTGGCAATATAGATTCAAAGTGAATTTTGCTATAAACACAATAAATAGTGTTTTTAATTAAGGATGAACTTCACAATATAACCTGGGAAGCTTTGTCAAAATATGAATGCCTGGCTTCTGCCCTCAGAGATTCGGATTCTGTGGGTGCAGAAACTGGAGACATTTTAAAAGAGCTCTCCTACTGCACTGCACCCGAGAACAACTGCTCCCTATTAGAGAATTAAATAAAATCCGTTCTATCTCAGAATCACCCAAGAAGCTTTACCAATTCAAACATCACAATGCCATTTCACTTGGACCCTAAACAGCATGGATACACAGGAGAGCAGCGTGATACTGCTGCTTTCACTCTGAAACGCAAAGACTTATTAAACAAGTTTGGTAGATCTCACCTGCCTATTTCCTGTTACTAAATGCATACTGCCTGTCATGGGGTGTTAAGTCATTCAAAGGAGTCTAAGTCACACTGGTTATTCTGACCTATAGTTACCAAAGTAATCTAAATAACACCCCCAACATCTTCAGAGCTTGTCCACCAGTACCATTATCAGCCCACGGCCTGCTCATGGGTAATTCTTGAGATTTACAAGAAAAAGGGTGACAAGTAAGACGACGCTTATTTACCAAAGTGCTACTTGTTTTTAAAGCATAAGTTGATTTTTTTTTTTTTTTTAAAGATTTTATTTTTAAGTAATCTCTACACCCAACATGGGACTTGAACTCACAACCACAAGATCAGGAGTTGCATGCTCCACTAACTGAGCTAGCCAGGTACGGCCTAAATTGATCTTTAAGGAAGGAGGCCAGGCTCTATTAAAGTTTGTGGAGTTTAAACCCCAAAGAGTAAATGTAAGATTAACATAGGATACATACAGGACCGCCCCCTCTGCCAAGTTACCAATAAATCCAAAGCTGGAAGGGACCCTCCAGGAAGACCAAGTTCAACTCTTTGCATTACAGACAAAACCAAAAAAGTTCAAGTCTCTGAATCCTGATACTGAGATCTAACCCTTCTGGAGATCACCACCACCTCAACTTCAACCAAATTTAACTCCTCTCTGGCTCCAGGTAAGAGCCCAAAAGTTTTCACCGAGCAATGATTTTTTCTCATTATATGAATATTCAGTACTGTCTTAACCAATTACTTATGCCTAATGTATTTTACTAATTAAATTTTAAAACACACACGAGTTACACCAATATAAAAATTATATTGCTAACCCACAGAATGGGAGAAGATATTTGCAAATGACACTACAGATAAAGGGCTGGTATCCAAGATCTATAAAGAACTTCTCAAACTCAACACCCA